CATTCTCCCATTTTTGCATGACTTATTGGGCATCTTCTAGGTGACAGGTACAGGGCTGGCTACTGGGGAGAATACTGAGGAAAACAGAGAAGGGGCCTGTGCCCACGAGGGGAATGGGGACTAGAAACAAAGACTCCCCAGAATGACTACTATTGCATTCCAATTTTAGCAAAGGCTTCTAAGGAATCTACGATGCCCGAGGGTGAATAACTGGGCCTGGGGTGGAGAGATGCTAAAAAGATGGGGATGGTTATGTATGGCAGAGCAGTCTGAAGAGGAGGGGATATGTGGGGAGTTGAGGCCAGAGGGTTAGACAGGCCCAAGTCACCCGAGGACTGGTGGGAGTGTGGACTTCACACACATGAGCACATACACACACCCTTGCCGGGTTCCTACTCCCATCCTACTATTCTCATTCTTGAGGTGCTCACAGGATGCAGACCTGGTCCTGCCCACTGCTAGCAAGAGACAGGGTAGGGCTGCTAGATGCCCCCTTGTACCCATCCCACAAGCACCAAGGGCAGAGACCAGGCTAAGTCCTGGCAGGGGGAGGATGAAATGGGCCCCAGAGAGGCCTCACAGTCAGGGTGACTGAGGTCAGTGTGTATCCCCAGGGGCCACACCAAGTGGGGTTGTGAGCTATGGATGCGTGTGTGCTCCCTCCATCACATTACCGAGTGGGCTGGGTAAGTGGGGTTGCCCCCAGCCGCAGGATGAGAGGCCCCCCCTTGGGGTTGCGGATCTTCTTGATGGCAGGGGTCTTCATGAGGCTGAGTCGGCGGATGAGGTTGAAGCCTTTGGGAAAAACAACATATGAAAGGCTCAACTGAGCAGGTAAAGAAGGGGTTCCTTCCTGGACAAAGGGAGAGGGGACAGCAACAGGGTGAGAGGCACTCACCAGTCACATTGGCTGACAGGTCACTTCTGTGTTCTAGCTTGAGTCCTTCCTGCTCTGAAGGGGGGCACTGCTCACCTACAAGAGAATTGGCTGGGGAGCACTGGGGACTTGGGCTGAGGCAGCTGCCCAGCTGGGCTCCTGGGAAGCAGCAAGTTCAGTGTTAGCCTGGCCCATCCTAGACCCTGGCTACCCTGGGAGCCAGGAGGAGCCCCCCACACACACATAGTCAGGAAGACTGAGGCCTAGAGACTGAAGCCTGGCCCAAGGCCACTGAGTGAGTCAACGGCACAGCACAACCGGAACTGGAACCCAAATCTCAGTGTTCCCCATCAGGGTCTAGGCCAGCAAGGGAAAGGATAAAAGAAACGGGGCGGCACCAAAGCACAGTGTGGTGGTGAGCTGTGGATATGCGTGTGCTCCCTCCATCACATGCACTGAGGTGGGGGCAGAGGAACACTTCAGGTTGAGGAAATATCAGGCTCGTGCCCATTTTGTGTTCTGTGCGATTCCATGGCATGCCTGCACATGGGTGAGTCGTGGATACCCATGCCCCCAGGGATGCCATGTGCAGCTGGGACATGTGCTCTCCGCAATGGGTCCCACTTTCCACATCCAAAGCAGACAAGCAGACCAGACACAAGTCGAGCCCACAGAGTGGCTTTTCAACCATCTAATGAAACAGTGAGAAGACACTGGGGGTCTAAAGAGAACTGAAGCTCAAGGGCAGCACCAGGGCCTTAGATTCAGGTAGGGCACATTAAGAGGTAAGGGTGCCTAGAGAGTGAGACGTTTTAATGCAGGTCGTCACAGCCCTGAAGGGACAGGCTGGCAGCCAAAACCTTCCTCTCCCTTGGCTGACTGAGCAGAAGTACTGAGGGGAGTGCTATACTGGAGAGACAGAGGCTAGAATCAAAAAGTCCTTCCCAGCAAGCAGCTACAAAGCTGGGGCAAGACAGTAAAGTAGGATCCTAGAGGCTGGCAAACTTCTTGCTAGCCTGACTGAAAGAAGGAATCCTGCATCCCTGGTCTTGGTCACCCACTAGAGTCCCTCCCCCAGGTCTGACCAGAAAGATCTTCACTGTCTTCAGCCTCAAAGCAGCAGTGGGTGACTCACCCATTGGCAATGGGCCCAAATTCCTTACAGATGTTGAAATTCTCTGCCCCAGCACCACCCACCAAAGGAGCAAAGCTCCCCCATACATGTGCAGGAACACATATGTATGAGTGCACACACGTACACGGCACACACACAACTAGTAGCAACACCCATTCTTGGTACATAACACTTTTGGGGGGTTCCGGGAATGGAACTGAGCACCTCACACTGAGATATATCCATACCTCCCTCCCTCCTTCCTTTTTGAGACAGGATCTCACGAAGTTCCTCAGTTGCCTAGATTGGGTCCAATTTTCTCCTGCCTCGGTTTCCCAGAGTTCTGGGACTACGGTTAGCTGTGTGCCACCATGCCTGGCTTGCACAACCCCTCTTGCTTTGCTTCTTTGTTGGCAGCCTTTGACTGTCTGGGTCTGGGTTCTAGGAGCTCTGCTCCTGCTTGGCTAGGTGGCAGAGCTACCAAGCCTAGAGGGCACCCAGTAGGGCTGGGCAGGCTGCCCAGTAAACTTCCCCTGGCCTTTGGCCCCAGAAAGCTGCAGCGTCTGCCCCATCCAGAGTCTGGCCTGAGGCTGAGCCCTGCACAGGAGAGCCAGATTGGCGGTGGAGGAGGAGTGCTCATCTGGGCTGGAGGATGGAGTCTCCACCATAAGCAGGAGCAGGACTTGGGCCAACCTTCTACAGGGCAGGGAAAGCAAAGTGAATTCTCCTCCCACCCTGCTGGCCCCCACCAAGGCTAACACAGGACAGGTTTATGTATACAGGGGAGGGGGCTGTCTGACCCCACACAGAGACCCAGTAGTAGGTGTAAATGCACAGAGCCACTCTGAGATACAAACACAGAGTTGCTCAAAGATGTAAATATATGCACAGACACACTCTCTCACAGGTTTGAGGGTGCAAACTCCTCAGGCTACCCTGAGCCCAGCCCCGAGACTCTCCATAAATGCTCATATGACGGGCACATACATAGCCCCACATGTGCAAAGATGCTGGCACCTCAGGGCCAGTTGCAGGCTTATGGCACCCGGACCATCCTGTGTCATCTCACCTGTGTTTGCCCCATGGCTGAAGGTGACCCAGAGACTGAGCAGCCACAGGCCAGGTGTCCACATCCTGGTCCAGAGGGATCAGCCACAGCCACAGCACCTGAAAGCCACAGAGACCCAGGAAGTCAGGTTCCTGAGATCCCACAGCACAATTCCACACATGGGCAAGTAGTGACAGCCCACAGGGCTCCCTTCCACTGGGAATGGCATGGCAAGAGGTCTAGCCAGGTGTTAGTCCCTCCCAGGAGCCCAGCCACTGGCCTGGGGCTAAGATCTGGGCATGGGTGATAATCAAAATATTTAACCACCGGTATGGCACAGAGACCCACCAGACAGAATAGAATGCTGGCCAGAGCACGGAAACAGGGTCTGGCAGCCTCTGGTTGTGCCAGTGTGTAGCTGCTGGATTGCAGAAAATTCCAAAGGGTCCTAGGTACCACGGTAGCTACCCTTGTAGCTGGGATAGTTGGGGCTTGAGGCAGAGACTATTTATCAAAACACTTGGAAGCATTTCAGTATTTGTGCTCTGTGCTGGCACGCACCAGCCCAGTACCTGGCTAGCTGGCAGCCCTGCACCTACAAGGTCAGAATCTCAAGACTTGGCTGAGTCTCCTGGAAGGTCTCAGTGGGCTGTGTGTGGGCCAATGAAGCTTCCCCCTGGGTAAAGATAGGTGGGAGAGCAGGTTGCCAGGGCTCAGGACCTTGTTGCCAACCTCCCCTACTGATGGACGCTAGTCTTTTAGTTTTATTAAAGCCTGATGGATGGGTCCAGATAAATCAATGCAGGCTCAGCAATCAGCCAGCACAGCCATACATCACCCAGCCTCCCCCAGCACAGGCAGCTCATGCACATGCACACAGAGCCATGCGTGTTTTGGCACACACACACACACACACACACACACAGAGATACACATGGTACTTGTGTATGCATTCAAACCTACCTGCACGCAGGCATGCTCAGACACACATGGTAACTGATAAATTCAGGCACACAAGTTTGACCATATACATATGCACACAGCCAGCCCATGACCACCCTACCAATAGGCCTTCCTGTTGGGAAGTTCTTATGCAAGTCTGATCTCATTCCTTCTGATGGAATCCCATTTTCCCTCCATTGGTCCTGGACAGGGAATGAGAACAGAAAGGATCCCCTCCCCGATATATTTGGAGGTAGGATACCAGGCCCCTTCTCCTGGGACAGAACTGTACCTCCCCCTCAAAACCCCCCATCCCCGGGATGTGCATATCCCACCCCTCAAACACTAGGCAGGCCTGCCCCTCCTGCCAGCCAGTGGAAGGGCTGCCAAGGTGGGCACCACGTGGGCACACGTGGAGGCGTGAACACTTCCGCCTCCACTCCCCAGGCCCCAGTCTGCGTGGGGGGCCACAGAAACAGTGAAACAGGCTTCAAGGAGATGTTCCATCCCGACACAAAGGCACAGACTGGGGGCAGAGGGAGTAGACCCAGGAGGGAGATCAGAGCTCATCCCTCTATGGAAAAGAGGATGATGCCCAGAGAGCGGGATGCCATTTGCCCCAAGGCACACAGCCAGTCAGGGGCGGAAAGGATCCTTCAGCCGGCTGCCAGCAGGCAGTCCATTTCATGCCCACTTACCCGTGGCTGGGTATCCCCTAGCCTCACTGAGCAATCCCGGCAGGCAGCCTCAGAGCCCCCAGCCCGGAGAAGCGGGGCCTGGGTTCCGCCGGATCCCTGGGGATCTGCGCTCTCCCCCTGGGCCAGCCGCACGGGTCCCCAGCTTCCCAGAGGCCTGAGCTCTCCAGGCTGAGTGCGGTCCCGCGCAAGCCTGCCGCTTTGCCGGCCACTCGGGGTGGGGAAAGAGGGGCGGTTCCAGGGGGCTGGGGGCCTGCCAGGAAAGCTAATGGAACACAGCTGGGCCCGCCCCTCCAGACCAGAGGAGGAGGGGACGCGGGAGGGGCTCCGGCCACGGGACCCACAGACTGAAGGACTCACAACCCCGCTCCTCCCCTGGCTGGGTGCCCGGGCCCGCCCCTCCCACTTCCACTGCCAGGTGAGCCAGCCAGCGAGCAGGCGGATCCTGCGTGTCCAGAGCCGCCCGGGAAGGGGGCTCCTGCGGGCGGGTAGGCGTCTTTTTAAGAGCCAGGCCTGGAGTTTGAAGAACCTCCTCTTTTCCTTCCCTCTTCTTTGGCTGGGTCCCCAGGAGGCTCCTGGCTGGGTGCCCGGGCCCGCCCCTCCCACTTCCACTGCCAGGTGAGCCAGCCAGCGAGCAGGCGGATCCTGCGTGTCCAGAGCCGCCCGGGAAGGGGGCTCCTGCGGGCGGGTAGGCGTCTTTTTAAGAGCCAGGCCTGGAGTTTGAAGAACCTCCTCTTTTCCTTCCCTCTTCTTTGGCTGGGTCCCCAGGAGGCTGGGGTGGGAGTGGAGACCCTCCTCCCAAGATCATTCAACCCAACATGTGGCTGCCGCCCAAGCCTCAGTGGTCAGCTTTTTCCAGTTCTTGAGCCTAACATTCCTAGTCTGTCCCTCTCTGTCTGCAACCCCTCCCCAAATTAACTCCTGCTCTGACCTCATTCCCAGAGAAGTGGAACCAGCCAGTTCCTTGCTCCTTCTTACTCCATGAGCTCAGAAGGACTCGGATCCCTGCCCCCTGCTCAGGCTTTGTTGACTTCAAATGTACCACTTAACTAGAACTCGACTTGCTCATCTGTGACTTGGGCTAATGGTAGTATTTGCCTCGGATTGTTAAAGGAACTGAGTTAAATGTCTGTAAAAGTGCTTAGCCATGGCCTGACACAAAAGAGAACGATTTGCTGTTATTTTCATTATTGTGGTGATCCCTGGCAAGGGCTGGGGTGGGGTGGGAGATGAAGCTGGGAGTCAAGCATGCTTTCTATCCAGGGAAGCAAAAGGAATTGCGGCTGGGTGAGAGATCTGACTCTGGAGGAGGAAGGAGAAGGTAATACTTCCGGTGCCATTAGGGAAAGGGGAGGTTGGCCAAGGCCAGCACCCTCGAGGGTCCTCTCCACCCCGCTCCCCAGCAGCAAATTCCTTGGTGTCAAAGTAGGGAAACCACACAGAAGGGGGCCATGGGTGGAGAAGGGATGGGGGGCACTAATGCAGTTCCTTGATTTTGGTGTGGCGGTCATCGCATTAACACAGTGCAGTGCAACTCTGTGGCCCCATCTAACCCAGGCACGGGGAAGCCAGCCCTGGGATTTCCCGCCTGCAAACCCGGAGGCGCTGAGTCAGTGGAAACCCCAAGTAGCAGAGTAGCCGCAGAGGCGCCCCACTGTGGTCTCTTGGAGGAGCCGGGGGCCCAGATGTCATGTGGCAGTGGTGGGAACGCTGAGCTCAGCAGCGGGAGGGAAGTACAGGGGGTGGGGCTCTCTGAGGCTCGAGTGAGGAGTGGGCAGGCACAGGCCCAGCCTGTCCCTAGAGCACTAACCAGCGCTGGGCATGTGGGAAGATAGGGAACACCAGGAGGTTAGGCTTTGCTCTGAGATTCCACCTATGCTAACGCCTTGCATCTTTACCACAACTGTATGTCAGTTTCTCTGTTTATCCCTGCCTTGTGGATGGGAAACCAGGAGCATAGGAACAGCACAGCCCTTGCAGCGTCAGTCACACAGCTAGTTGGCAGTGAATAGATTCGCGTCTCACCCACTGTGCCATCCTGGCCCCTCCTACCCTTCCTGTACACATGCCCTGTGCAGGGATGGCTGACCCAGAACAGCCAGAGACAGAGACACAGGAAGCTGGGAAGGAGGAATCCAGGCTGTCTATAGCAGTAGCCAAGGCTGGGACATGGCCTTTGCCTGAATCTACCATCATAGACAGATGTGTGCTTCCCTCTAACACGTGTGCACACAGCCAGAGAGAGCCATGTGTGCTCTCTCGCAGGACTTGGTTGTGCACGTACCATACACATCTGTGGGCACTCGTGTTCATGCAGATATGCATGTACACACACAGCATACCTTCTCTTAAACAGATACACAAGACACGTATAGGAGCCCAGGTGACTCCACAGGAAGGTATTCCTGGACATGCCCAGAGACAGGTGTTTAATTCTCACAGTGCCTGTGTGTGTGACACTGCATGTACTTAAATGTACACACACAGGCACATGCATGTACACATAAACATGTGTGCACAAAACACACCTAGAGACACAGACACGTGCGCACCAGCATAATGACTCAGAGAAGCAGGCAGACGTCTGGCACGTACATGTGTGCACACAGACACAGGTGGCCACATGGACTGAGCACCCACAGAAACACTCAGCTGTGCACACACTGGCACACGTACACATAAACATACATGTAGCTATATTGACACATTTACACTCAGTCAGCCCAGAAAACCCTGCACACCAGCAAGCTAGGTATCCCGTGGGGCCAGGCTCAGTGCCCTCACCCCAGATGGCACCGCCACGAGGTAATCAACACTGCTAATCGCCACCAGCTGCCCTGGAGCCTGCCTGTCGCTGCTGGGTGGGGATAGCAGTGCCTCCTGGGCCTGGGGTTATGTGCCCAGATGTTGACAATGCTCAGGCGCCCTCCCATTACCCCAGCTTGCCTCTGGGAATCCCCATCTGGTAGAGGCAGATTTTGGGGCTTGGGGAGGATAAAGAGCCAGGATAAGGCTTGGCTCCTTGCATCCAAGCAGAGGTGGTTTGTGTGTCTTAAGCTTGCATGTGGTCCTGGACCTCTGTGTGCACACGTGCACACTTGGGCCCTGGCACAGGTGCACGCAGCTGTGCGTGCACACACAGACATTTCCTATGTGATGAATTGCTCTTCACAGATCTGCTGTTCTCTGCCTTCCTCATTCTACGCAATGCCACCATACCCATGCAGATGATAAATCTGAAAATCCAAGCCTGGCTCCTTCCTTTTCCTCACTAGCCCCGTCCAATCCTGTCACCTCTACCCCTAAAACACAGGCCGCACCTTTGTACTTCTCCCAATCTCCGCTGCTACCACTCTTGCCCAAGCCACCACCATCTTTTGCTGGGACCACTGCAAGAGGTTCTGACTGCTCTGCCCACTGCTCAGAGTGCACTGCCCCTCCACTCCAGCCTAGCAGCCAGGGAGAACCTTCCTAACCTCTCTCAGTTGGCTTCCAGTTCTCATGCTACATAAAATAAAACCCCAGATCTTTCCCTCACCTTCTCAAAAGTCTTTCATGATCTGGCCTCTGCCTTCCTGTTTATCACCTCATCCCCAAAACTGTGCTCCTGCTTCCTTTCTCAGCCCCGAATGCACTTCGCTGGCTTCCCCTTGGGGTGTTTGCACCCACTCTTCCCTCCGTCTGCAAGGGTTTCCTCTTGTCTTTGCTGGGCCGGCTCCTTGCTCTCCAGGGCTCCCCTCCTAAGCCGGATCCTCGCAGTGGTCTGCCCTGACCTCCAGATGTGGAGGAACTTCAGCCACTCCCTATCACACGGCTTCCAGGTGAGTGTCTAGGCTTTGCTTTTCTGCGTGACCCTGTCTTGCTGTCATTACTGCCCTACAGCTGACCTAGCACCCCTAGTTACCAACAGTGAATGAGTGCACAAAGGCACTCGAGCCCTGCCCGGGCATCCAGATACAGACTATGCCCACAGGAAGCATGACACGGGCACAAATGTGAAGGTGCGCATGTTCAGACACGCGTGCGTGTCCTTGAACACACAGGTTCTGCATTCTGAGGGACACTGAGACAGGAGGCCTCGCTCTGCCTCCTTCCATGTCTCTTTCCTGTCCCCTCTATGGAAGAGGGAAAATCCCTGATTCCCTAGAACTCCTTCCTCCTCCTCCTCCTCCTCTTCCTCCTCCTCCTTCTCTTCCTTCTCCTCCTGGCATCTAGAGGGCAGAGGTCAGGGATGCTGCTAAACATCATATAGTACTCAGGACAGGCCTCCCAATAAGGAATTACCTGACTCCAACTGTCAGTAGTGCGGAGGAGAAGTCCTACCCTGAATCAGGGAAGCTTCTGTTCCACAGAATCCTCACATTCCTTAGGACACCAGATTTTGATTCCATTTCTACCTTGGATAATAGCAGCAGCACTTTTAAAGTGCTGTCCTGTATTATCCATAGAGAAACTCAATTTAGTCTCAGGACAACCACAAAGGGCCAAGTATTATTACTGTTCCAATTCAAGGGGTGAGGACAGGCAGAGAGGACCCGGATGGGTCCTGAATTTGAGCTGGTCATCTGAAGACGGGCCCAGATGGTGGGCAGAGGGCAATGTGGGAAAGAGCCCAGAAAGCAGGTGCCTGACCAAGTCCCTTTTCCCTCTGGTCTTCCTTACCCGGATGGGTCCTGAATTTGAGCTGGTCATCTGAAGACGGGCCCAGATGGTGGGCAGAGGGCGATGTGGGAAAGAGCCCAGAAAGCAGGTGCCTGACCAAGTCCCTTTTCCCTCTGGTCTTCCTTTCTCATCTGTCCAGTGGGAACCGCTATGCCATTTAAACTGGCAACACTTCTAGAAGGTAGGGCATTGTTATTGCCTCCACTTCACTACAACGGCAAGGACTCAAGATTTAAATCTCAGTGTCACAGCCAGGCCTTAATTTATTCACCTATAATATAGGTTAGGCAAACCTTCTACACCTATACTATAGGTTAGGCAAACCTTCTAGAGACCGAGTGCCCAAACTACAACGCAAAACCCACTTGGTTATCACAAAGCACCAACGCTGCAATTAAAGCTGGTGAGGTTTCAGTTTAGAAGAAACAACTATTATCTGATCGATGCTCAGCTGCTGGGGTGACGTGGCTTGTGTGCCGACAGAGAGGGCTCTGCAGGCCCGTGCAGCACGTGTGTCATAGGTTTGCCACCTATAAAAATCAAATAGCACAAAACAGTGGCTACTAAGTTTGAATCCCCCCTTTCCTATTTACAAACTGTGGACTTTTGACAAATTACCCCTGTCTGGAGAGAAATTCGGTGTCCTTGTTGGTGAAGAGGACTTGTCCCTACCTCACAAGAGGGCAGGGGGGTTTAGTGAGAGGACACATGCAAAGTGCTGAGTGTGCTTCTCCATAAACACCAGCTATTCCCGACATACCATGAGTGTATAACCCTCACCACACAAGACACACATTCTGTTGGCTCACTTCCCTCTCCTCCTCTCTCCCTCCAAGCCTGTAACTTTGAAACTGTCTTCACCTTCCTTTCCATTTGGGATAGCTCAAGGCACAGAAGGCCCTGCTTTTGTTACTATGTCTTCCAGAGCCTGTGATGGAGCCTACCTACGTGCTTTATAAATCCTTGTAGCATGAAGATGGAAAGTGGGGGAGCAGCTCCTTCTGAGGACAGACCCCTTCTCTGAGCTGCAAAGCAAGGAATATCCAAATCAGGCTTGGGGACACGGGAGCAGCCAGGGACTCCTAGATTCTTTCTTTGCATGCAAGAGCCTCAGACAGTTGGGACTTGTAAATTCTTCAAATCCTGGAACCTGTGGGTGGAGATAAGCTTTGGCTGCTGCTCAGCCCCACCTTCTCCCAGTGGTGTCCAGGGCTGGGCTAGAGAGTCCCGACAACCTGGCTAGCCAGACAGGATGCAGGAGTGGGGTGGGGGAGAGCATGCAGGGTGCAAACCCCACTTCAGCACCACGGCAGAACATAAAGCCAAAGGTCAGAGAGAGTCTGATCCTAGCTTGCTACTCCCTGGCTTTGTTCTCTGAAGCAATTCTTTCACCTCTGTGAGCCATCATTTTCATATCTGTATAATGAATGGGTGATAATAATAAGGATTAGCCTCAGGAAAATTGTTTTGAAGATTATATGAGACAAAGCATGAGATTGAGCCACTCCCGTAGGAAATGCTCAAAGATGATTGTTCTTAACAGTAGTATTCGAGAGGGTTTGTGATTTACCATGGACCGTTGCCTAAATCTCACACCCACCTTCATCTCTAATATTTCCCCTTGCCTCAAATTCATGTAGTTCTAAGAGGTCTGACATTTCTGACACAAAATAGTTTAGTTGTCTACAAAGTGACTTAAATAATAGTATGTAAAGAAAAAAAAAACAGCATATCAACCTTGATCATCCAAAAAATACCCAAGACTGGTGTGTTTGGATGAAAGAAGACAGTGGTTGGAAGGTAGGAAGAAAGAGCCTAGGACTGGGCACTTGGGTTCAAGGCCAAGGTCTGCCTCTATGCATTTGGCTTTAGGTGGCTCTTTGCCTTTTGACAACAGGGGAAGGCTGAACTTGGGGTCTCTGAGCTTCTTCCATTCCCCAAGACTGAGAGTCTTAAACCTGTAATAGCCCAAACATGTCTCCTCCTCTTGCTGGGGAATAAGTGTGAGGTGCCAGACCTGTGAGAAGCCCAGGATGCCACCTCTCTCCCCCTACTCAGGCCTCACGGGTCACCAGGTGCTCTAGATCTGGCCAAGTGTTCCATGCCACCTTAGCTGGACCCCTCCAGGAGGGGGAGCTCTCCACACCAGCCCACCAATCCTCTTCTGTACTTGGGAGGGGAGAAAAACAGCTGCCGGAGATAGTAACTGATTTGCTGAGGTGGGACTGAACCAGTGTAATTCCCAATATACTGCCCCTGTTTCTTGAAAAAAGTTGTAATCATTTGGACAATGCTAAGTATGTATAATTACTCCCCTTTTACAGAAGAATGAGCCATAACTGAGTATCAGCCTTAATCTGAGCACTTTATAGGAGGCAACAGGCCCTAAAAGAAGTTGAACAAGGGGCGTGCTAAGAAACAGAGCTGGGTCTTGAATCCAGAAGTGTCACAGCACACTCTGTCCTGTGCTGGGTCCCCTTCCTATTTATTAGGAGCCCAGTTTTCTCATCTGTGGAATGGGGAGGGTGTCTTTGCTCAAGAACCCAGTTAGGACTTCTTGTTCAAGCCCAGGTCTCCATCCAGCAGCCTGGGGAGTGCCAGTCGTAGAGATGGGCAGGTGTAGACGTGACTGTCCTGCCCAGGCAGGAGCACCACCACCAGACACACAAAAACAACCAAATAAATCAGGTCAAAGAACTCCTAATCCTCTCCGGCTGTGGCTGCTACTGCTTGCCGGGCCCCGAAGGCGAGCATGAGAGTCGGGCCAAGAGGCGCCAAGTGACGGCTGGTCATGAAGGCGGCCTCAGCCCCAGTGCGGGAGCGGGAGAAGGCCCTCCCGGCGGGTGGCACAGCCTCCCTGACCCACTCCTGGATGGGAGCGTTCCGAGCCTCTGCCTATTTTTAGATCCAGCTCTGGGCTCCAGAGCAAAGTGGGAGGGAAGGGGGGCCCATGGGGGAGCAAACGGCTGAGCAGCTCCTCCCTCTTGGGGCTCAAGCTGTACTCCTAGAAACAGAAAAGGACAGAAGCACTGGGGTCCGGGGTGTCATCCTCCTGTCCAAAAGGCCTGGCAGTTCCAGAGAGCTGGGCACGGCTCCCTGAGAAACGACCTCTATTAAGTGGAGCTTAAAGCCCCCGGACGGTCCTTGTGTCCGCCGAGGAGACTGCAGGCCAGGGCAAGCGGGGCGGAGGCGACGGAGCTGGCCGGGGTGGAAGAGCCCAGGGAGCCGCCGGGGTCTACCGGATCCCTACCCTGCCCGGCCGCCGGCCAAGGCCCCCGGCCCCTCGGGCCACCCCGACTCCTCCTCCTGTGTGGCCCCGCCCAGCCCGGACCGAGGTCCAGAGA